AATAACTGGGTCAAAGCAAAAGGAAGGAGTAAACAAGAGGGTTTACTATGGGTTCTCCACAAAAGTGAATCCAACCCAAGGAGGCGGGGAAGGGAAGTTTCCAGGACAAGGGTGGTGACCCGCTAAGAGAGCAGCCTGTCCACACGGAGCATGAGGATAAAGGGCAATTCTGAGAGGAAGGCCTGGTTGATGGAGAGGCAGGCAGAAACCACAAATGGGCAGCATAATAGAGACAAAGAGTTCAAGATGAAAAAGATGAGCAGAAGCTCCAGGAAAAAGTAAAGAGGGGAGGGAGGATGTACAAGAAAGGAAGTAGAATCACTATTTTCTGATCTTTACGTTTTAGAGTCCACCTATAGAAGAAACTCCAGCCTCCCCACCCCCGACCAAAAAAAATATAACTGCGTTATGGGTAAAAACAGAATGTAAATGTTATCAGCCTTGATACCTTTAAGGTAAATGCACGAATGATGGGAACCAAAACATGGGGATGCGTTTTAGGAGCTGCATCTTACAAGAGTCCAGGATCAAGAGATACTGTCAGTGTTTGGTAGAACTAGAAATAGGTGACTCAGCCAATCTATAGGCGGAAGAACTAAAAATAGCAAAATCCCCCAACCCAGAAGAGCAGGGAGTGGGTGGGGTGGGGGCCAAGGGGCTGAATCCTCACCCCCTGAGGCAGGACATCGATGCACGCCACCCCAAGTCAAGAAAGAACAGCAGGAGATGCGTGGAGGTAAGGAATGGAAGAAGCAGCCGAGCACTGAAAGAAATGGAGCTGGCGGGGGCGAAGGCACAGGGCAGGGGACTGTGGCTTTTCCTTAGTATCAGCTTCTGTGCCCTACTTGACTTTTCCCACCGTGTGCAAGAAGAGACAGAGATGATGAGGAGGTGTCATGACCATCTCTGTCCTCCTTTCTCTCCTTCCATGGCCTTCTCTCTCTCCACCCAGCTTCCGTGTTCAGGCCCCATCCACTCACTTGTGTGTCAGACACGTCCCGAGGCCCTGCGGGGTCACCCTTGGGGGCTTCAGAGATGCCAGGGCATGAAGGGGCCTCCCAGCCTCCGTTCCTGGGTGCAGCGCAAGGCTCCTCACCCCTGAATGATGGGGAAGGGGCTGCAGGAGATGCCCCAGGGTGACATCCAGGCGCCGCCGCACCTGGTGGCAGTGACTGCCTTAAATATAAACAGACTCTAGGATAAACACAAACCAATCATTTGTGTGAGTATCAGCAACACTGAGTTTCATGATAAGTCACCACCACAGAGTAATTCTTCCTGCGTCTGACATCGTCAGGGAGCCAGGCCTTCTCCATGTGGGAATTTTCTGGCTGACTGGTTTCTACCAGCATTTGGAGCAGTTCTGGATCAGAATCACCCCCAGATGAATCACAGCCCTTCCTGTCGCCCCAGAATGCCCGCTGACATTCAGCCGCGCGGCCCCCTCCACACACAGATGGCGACTTCACGTCTCCCCAATGACTCAGAGGATCCCCCAGGAGCAGCATTCACGGCTCCAGCCAACACAGTGAAGCCACAGGTGCCCTGTCCACGCCAGGCCCACTCGAGCCTCTGATTTCAGCCCTGGACATCCCATTGCGCCTCAGCCTGCGGACCCAGGAGAGGAGACACCAGGCTCACTGCTCCCTAGTGCCCCGCCAGTGGCCTCCATCTCCTCTCAGGGCCCCTGTGCCACCAGGGCCCAGGCTGCCAAGATCTGGGGCCTACGGGGTGGTCCAAGGCCCAGGGGCCACTGGCCAGAATGGCTGCTCCACTCAGGACACCAGACAGGGTGCCCGAGGCAGACAAGTGCTCAAGCCAAACGTGCAGAGCGCCAAACATGTGTCCCTGACGAGGGCCCACAGTGGGCACCCTACATAGGATGGGTGATGTCCCTCTCCCAAGCCCATCAGGTCTGTGATGCAGGGGCCCAGGTGGAAGGTGGGGTAAGGGCTATTACGGCTGAATCATCTCCTCCGATGCAGCAATCCTAACCCCTAAGATCTCACAAGGTGACTCTTGGGAGACGAGGACTATAAGGAGGTGCTTAAGTTGAAACGAGGCCATGAGGGTGGGCCCTCACCCGGGAGGGCCGCTGTCCTTATTAGAAGAGGAAATGAGGGCAGAGACAGGCCTGAAGGAAGTCCACGTGAAGACAGAGGGGACGAGGACACGTGTGAGCCATGTAGAGAGGCCTCCAGAGCCAACCCTGCCAGCGCCTCCATCTCAGACTTCCCGCCTCCAGAGCCGTGGGGATGCAGCATTCTGCTGTTCAGGCCGTTGACCTGCGGTGCATGTGTGTGGGGGCTCCGGCCAACTGACACAGTGACAGACCCCAATACAGAGACGGTGCATGGCTAGAGGCTGGGAAGTCACACAGAGGGAAGACCACCCTACAGGGCTCCTCAGGGCTTTGGCTCTAGACACTGAGGTGAGCAAGAAGGAACGATCCACATTTTATGACTCGACAGGTAATTGTTTTACCTTCGAAGACACGAAGACAGGCTGCCCACAGGTGTGCCCTGGCTTCCCGAGCACAGTTAGGGCCCAAGGTCTCTGAATTCCGGGCAAAGACAGAGGATCTCTGCAAAGGAGCTGATGAATTTGGCTCAGGCCTGGAGTCTGGATGGCCACAGCTGCACTGAATCCCAGTTCGTCACCAGTCACATCACACACACACACCCCACCGCCACCTGATGGAAGCCTTTCCAGGCTCCCGTGGCCCTCAGATAATGACAGAATCTGAATCCCGGTCCACACTGCAAGGCCTCACGAGGTTGGGCTCCTGTCTGCCCCTCCAGCAACATGGCTCCCGTCCCCCCCCCCCACACACACACACACTGGCATTCAGGCCGCCCTGACCCTTCAGAGCCTGGGACCCAGCGGGCTTCCTCCTGGTCCAGGGCCTTTGCACAGACTGTTCAGTCTGGAACCTTCCTGGTCTACATAACTCCTATTGGCCTTCCAACGGGAGCACCAGCATCCCTTCTTCAGGGAAGCCCAGCCTGACAACCCCTCGCCGTCCCAGCCCAGGTCCAGATCCTTGCCACCACCACCCCCTCCACCCCTGTCTTCCTAGGGTAATTAGTTATTAATGTGTGCTTCTCCCTGGGCTGTGAGCTCCATGAAGGCGGGGATCATGGTGGGTGCTTCAGCCTGGGGCTGGGTGGGTTGAGGGGAGCCTCTGGGTGGCATAGGGATGACAAACAACACAGCCAACCCCGGCTCAACGCATCCCCGGAGCCTTCCCGCAGCTACTAAACTTACAAACTCTGCATGACAGCCATGGTTCCAGAAGGGAAAGGAAGGGAGGGAGGCACCTGGACATGGACTGAGCACCTGGGATGTGGACACAGACTGAGCACCTGGCATGTGTGCTGCTATGGATGTGGACCGCGGGGTTGCCCACTCTAACACACACCTGTTCCTCCCATAACAACTACATAACAGTGTCCCCATGTTTGCAGGTGAGGAAAGGCTCAGAGAGGTCAAGTAATTTGTATAACAATGCAGAGCTGGGAAGACCCCTGGCCTGCCAGGCCCCCAGGCCCATGCTCCATCTATGCTCCACGCCACATGGAAATTATGTCAGGTCACTTAAGGAGCAGTGGCTCCTGCCTACGGGCCATGAATGGTGGTCCCAGGGGGCACATCAGGGATCATGGGTGGTGGTCCCGGGAAGCACGTCAGGGGCCCCAGGTGGTAGTCCTGGCAGGGGCCACGGGTGGTGGTCTTGGGGGGCATGTCAGGGGCCATGGGTGGTGGTCTCGGGGGGCATGTTAGGGGCCACAAATGGTAGTCCTGGGGGGTATGTCAGGGTCCACGGGGTGGTGGTCCCAGGGAGCACGTCAGGGGCCATGGGTGGTGGTTTTGGGGGGCATTTCAGGGGCCACGGGGTGGTGGTCCCGGGGAGCACGTCAGGGGCCATGGGTGCTGGTCTCGGGGGGCACATCAGGGGCCACGGATGGTGGTCTTGGGGGGCACATCAGGGGCCACGGGTGGTAGGTCTTGGGGGGCATGTTAGGGGCCACAGATGTAGTCCCGGGGGGCACATCAGGGGCCACGGGGTGGTGGTCTCAGAGGGGCACATCAGGGACCACAGGTGGTGGTCATGGGGGGCATGTCAGGGGCCTGTGAGTCCATGAGAGCCCCCAGTACCACCTCGGCCTGAATTAACTATATTTCTTTCACATCCAGATATAACTGTTTTCAAATACATATGAATTTTATCTGAAATTAAATATCATGATTAACACGACAACATGCCTCTCAGGGGGGCTGATGAATTCACACTGGTCCTACATGGGAGAGAAGGGTGACGTGAGCCCACACACACCAAAACGTGCAGCATGTAACATGCTTTTTCTCCCTTAGGCTGTAAAAAGGCCAGGGGTGTTGTCCTGTCGAGTGAGGAGCTGAGAGCACAATTCTTCCATAATTTGTGGAAAAAGAGAAAAGCCCAGGCTATCTGTGCACAGGTGCTGGTGTATGCAGACTCTCTGGGGAGATGTGCAAGGACACCTGGGTTGCCTCTGAGGACAACCGAGGGCTATGAGAGGCGGATTTTCACTTTACACCTTTTTGTACCACTTGAATGTTGTGTCATTTCAATAATTTAAAAAAAAATTTAACTTAATGAATATAAAATTTTGGAAAGGCAATATAGCCAGAGGGAGACCCTCCACACAGAGCCCTGAATTTCAGGTCAGATGCTCCTGTGCTATCTTGGGTTTCTGTACAGGAAGAAGCCCCGTGACAATACCTCGGAGACTGGTAATGAAGATAGGGACCGAATGCCCTGGTCCTTGCAAACTTGGCCTTTTTTTTTTTTTTTTCATAAAATGCACAGTGATCTCTGCTCTCCAAATGCCAGATGCCCAGGGGAAGTAGACCTAATGCCAGCTCCATGGGGACCCACCACACTCCCATCTCCTCCCCTCCAGTCCCCGGGGCCTGCCCCAACCCACGTGCACACCCCCACCCACCCCAACCACACTCACATGGACAGCACCTTTACTTCCAAGATTTCGTGCCTCAGCTCCAGACATCTTGTGGAATTATATTCAAATGGGCCCTCGTAAAATTCAAAGTACCTGGGAACCAACAGGGACAGAGGTTACTATGCAAAGCAGCCAGCCAGACTTTGGGGCGGGGGGGGGGGGGGGGGGCAGGGGGCTGCAGGGCTTTTGGTGGGAGGGGTCTAACCTGGGCAAATAAAGAGAGTGCACAGGCCCCACCCAACCCCCAGGACCACTGGGGTCCTCTGGCTGGATCACTGGGTGGTTGATTACTCCCAGAACCCCACTACCCCAGGAGCCTAAGTCTCTACAAGGCATCAACTCATCTCAGCAAATCATGACACTCAGAAGCAGGTTGGGTTTCAAATCCATGGCTGCAAAAGAGAAAGGAAGCAAGAGGATGCCCTGGGCACTGTCTCATTCTCCAGTTTCTGGTGATGGGTTCCTGAAGGAAGCAACACAGGGAGTCTGGACAGTGATAACCCAGACTTTCCGCCAATCCTGTCCTTTCCTGCCCCTTTCTCCTCCCCTTGGGGCACAAGCACAGCTAAGATCTGCTATTTTTCTACTCCTCATTAGCTCCTTTGACCCTAGCACTCATGCTGTGACCAGGTGAGACTGACATTTCCTTCTCCCCATCTGGCAGCTGAGAAAGCTGAGGCTAAAAAGATGGAGCTCAGGTCCCACGAGCAGTGGGGCAGGGCCAGGCTTGGGCCGGGTCCCACCGCAGAGGAGCCCAAGCCTCCTCCAACACTGGCTGGCTCGGGCATGCCAGGGCCACCGCAGGGTCACTTCTGCAGTTCCAAGCAGAGTTGTATCGATTCCAGCCAGCGCCTGCTGAGCCCTCCCCTCGGGCCAAGCTCTTGACGTGGATGCATCCAGTTTTCATCTTTAGAACTAGCCTCAGCATCTGGAGGAAGCTCTGGGAGTTCAGTTCACTCACTAGCCCAGAGCCACATAGATGGGAGGTGGCACAGCTGGGACATGAGCCTGCACACTGACTCTAGGCTACTCCTGTTCACTCACCCATAAGGACAGCGGGTACCCCTGAAAAGGGCCCTGTGGCCTCCCTCCACAGCCACTGGGTGAGGAGGTCTTTAAAGTCGCTCCCTCTCACACCTGAAGTTCCCACCAGCCCAGAGAAGGAAGAGCACCCGGCTGGTGGGGGGTGGGTGGAGGGATCCTGCAGACATAAAACACAGCAGATTACTGCCCAGCTCAGCCACAGAGGTAGCATGGGGCCTGTCCTCATGGTCTCCTCTTCTGGAGGCTGCTCAGAAAAGGCCGAGGTGGGGTGGGGTGAGTCGGATCCCTCAGAGAATCAATACCAGAGAATCAAGAAGCCTGCAGGGTCCAGCCACTCTAGATGCGGGGTCAGTGGCCTGACAAAGGGCAGCTCTGGAGAATCAGAAGTGGGAGTTGTGCCCCAGGGCTGCTCCTGGGCCCTGTGGGCCGTGACCCAGGATTTAAAATAAAGTCATTCCCCGAGCATTTCCCAGAAACCTTCCTGACACGTAGGGGCAGTTACTTCGAACTCATTCTCACACGCCTCGTTTCTGTGCACCAGCTCAGGCATGTGCCACTTTACACACAGAAGGGCGTTTCACCCAATAGAGTTAGGCTTCTTTTTAAAATACTTGCGTGTTAAATAACTTCCATGTGTAGTATCACATGTACTACTTTAAGATATATTTTCACAAATATTTTGTTCTTAATTTTCATGTCATTAAATAGTTAAGTTTTAAAGTTATATTTCAAAGGCAGTTCAAATAATATTTTTAAATATTAAAACATTTTTTTAAAAAAAAGATTTTACCCATTTATTCATGAGAGACACACAGAGAGAGAAGGGAGAGACACAGGCAGAAGGAGAAGCAGGCTCCAGGCAGGGAGCCTAACGTGGGACTCGATCCTGGGTCTCCAGGATCACACCCTGGGCTGAAGGCAGCGCTAAACCGCTGAGCCACCCAGGGTGCCCTAAAACACTTTATACACCAAACTGGCTCCTGTTGACGCACTGAAATTGGCTCTTTGTTCTCGTGTCATAAAAGAATTGAAGCAAAGTGCATAAAAACAAGGCATTCGGGATTCCCAAAACATCGCACTCACCTATTTCTCTCTGCTTCCCTGTGTTTTGGAAACCCGTTTGTCTGCCTTTCTCATCTGGGAAACCCATATTGATCCTTTAGTGCCCAGCTCAAAATGCCTCGTACTTCTGTGAAGCCTTCTCTGACTCTCACTCCAAGGGTCCCTCCTTGTCTCTTAATTAGAGCAAATAACATTGTATTATAATAGTGTGTTTACGTATCTGCTTGCCCTTTATCTCCAACACAGGGACTCTTTGTTACCTCTGTACCTTCTGCACTACAGAGGCTGGAAAGCTAAAAAGCTATATTTCCCAGACTCCCTTGCAGCTTAGGTCCAACCAGTCAGAAGCGTTTGCGTGAGTTGAATTCAGAGCTGCGTTCTAGGTAAGCCACAAGGAACCTCCAGGCACTGTTCCACTGGTGCAGAATGTGGCCGCTGAGGCACGGCTCTTGGAAACAGCTGTGGCCAAAGCACCCTCATGATGAAATCGGAGGCCACGGCTTTCGTGGTGGCCCTGGTTGGCAGCACAGGTTGGGGAGGCTCAGCCTGGGGTCTCTCTTCAACTTTCCCAGTGATTATGAGCTGGCTGTACCCTGATGAATCCCTTTCTGCTTTCACTAGCTAAATGGATTCTGTTATCTATGGTTGAGAACATGGGGTCAGCATGAGGCCACCAGAAAAGTCCATGACCTTGGCTGTAACTCATATCATTTTCCAGTCACTCGACAGGAGGCGAGGTCTGGTGTCTTATCACAAAGATCATCATTTGCAACCAGAGCCAGTGGCACTGAGTCCTTTGGAATCCACTGGGCCATCTGAAGCCGTGATCTCAGGCTGCTACTAAGAAAAGCTCTAGATTCAAATGGTGCAGGAGTTATTTAGGAGAGACTTACCCAGTGGTCTTAGGGGGTTGGGAATCCCACAGACACATCTTTCTTATGCTTCTAGACCAGCTGTGTGACTTTGGTAAATCTTGCCCTCTCTGGGCCTCTTCTGTCTCCTTCTTAAAACAATCTGTCTGAACTAGATGACAGACATATGTGACCGTCGGGTTGAGAGAAGGTATTGATGAGAAATTCGGGGGATGTCTCAGGACGGTGCCTGTGACACAGCTAGTGCCCAAGATATGTCCAACTCCTTTCTTTCTCCTTTCTGCCATTAAAGGGCAAGAGGGTCAGTGACCTGCTGACAGCCCCTCAGCTGGTTGAGGGCAGAGCTGGGTCGGGCACAAATAACCTCAGGAAGTTTCTCTGTGGTCTGGACTGGTTGGCATCCTCCGTCTGCTGCTGCCAGGAAACCTCCCCTCTCCCACACTACCCTGCAGAGAAAGCCCGCTGGGATGTGGGAATGATTTTCCCCAATCCCCCATCTCTGCTGCAGACTCTATGGATGAAACCTGTTTCCGATGCTTTAACAGCTGGGTTTTGTTGATTTTGGAAAGACTGCCCCTCCCAGGGCTAGCCAATTCCTCAAGATAGTAACACCTGGGAGCACACCTCTCCTATGCAATCCAGAGCTCAAGCCCACCCCACCCCCGCTCCCAGCCACTGCCTCCCACTCAGAGCCTCTTTCCCCCTGCCCTAATCATCCCAGGGCCGGGTACCACACAGCTGGGGGCAGCCCTTATGCCCTGGAGCCCACTGAGATTATTCAGACTGATGATTCCCAAGCCCGTGTGCCTGTCTCACCTGTTTCTTCCATGGAAACCATAATAGAGGCTCTTGCCCACTTTCCCCACCAACACCTCTGCTCCTGAGCAACCCCAGTACTCTCCCATGTGACCCTGTATGGTGCAGTGCATCTCCCGCTTCTGGGGAGCTGTGAGTACAAAATCCTCTTCCCTTATGGCAGTGACTTCTGCGTCTGTGTGTCTTACCACGCACAACTCTAACAAATCCCAGCTGCCCTAAAAACACAATGTGGTACCTCAGCCAAGCCATGAAAACCACTCCCCGCCTGCGGCTAAAGCCCCAATTCTCCCATCTGAAAATGGACCTAAAAGCCCTTACTAATGTCTCTATCCTACCTGGGCTTTGCTTTTCTGAGCTGTGCTGCTCCATTCCGGTCTCTAAAGATAACTGACTTGAGGAAATAAGACTGTCACAAGCACTGCCAGGTGTCCCCACCCCCCTGCATTCTGCTTCTGCCGGGACACCCAAGGCCTGTGTTCTGGGGAAAGCCATGGTAATCCCTCTTTGGCCTGGACAGACTTTTATGCAGATGTCAAAAATGACGCTTCAGTTTCTTTGTGGAGTGACACAGGAAGATGCTCATATGATAAGATTAAGTGTAAAATGCAAGTGACCAAACTGTGATGGCCCGAAAGAACGGGACATACGTATGTGAAAGCATGGGGCCCAGGGAAGGCCATAGCAAAGCACTAATGGTGGGCTTCTGTGAGGACCAGGATTGTGAGTGGTTTTTCAGATACTTTCCTGTACATTCATGAGTCTTCTGCAATGGGGTTCTGATTCTTGTGTTACTGGAAATCACTTCTAAACACCCTCTTAAGTCCTAGATCTCCCTCGAACCAGCTCAAGCTTCCTCTAACCTGCTACAAGATTGAGAAAAGCAGTTTCTCCGACCTTCTTAACTCCATCAGCTTCTCAAGGCGAGTAGGCCACTGCTTCTTCTTCCAGTTCTCAAAAGATGACCTCTGCCCAGCATCACATTTGGCACCTCGCGGGTATAAATAGTCTCCGCTGGTCAGCAGCAGCCCAGCTCATCTCAGATGCCACTTGGCTTCCGGCAGCCACGTCTGGGGCTGGTGCCAAGTTGCATCCGTCCTGCCCCTCTGGATGCCCTCAGGGACTGTAGGGGGCAGGGCAGGACGGCCCCAGCTGCCAGGCAGGCAAGTGCCAGCCTCCACTTGGTGAGAAGATGATGGCAGAGGTGACCACGACGGTCCTCCTCCTCCTTAGACTTAGGCTCTAGCTTTGCGGGCTGAGGAGGTGTCACTTGAGTGTGCCCCAGGCCCCGTGCACATC